AGACTTTCTCTGCAAAACAAAGATAAATGCAAATAACTATTGTAAGAAAGACGTGAGACCTTCCGTAAAATAGAAGTAAAATGGGTGAAAAACGGTTACCAAGTATAAAGATTGAGCTTGATTTGTACAGAACAAAAAAAAAAACCGTTTCAATCGCTCATCATCTCCATAAATTAGGCGCACAAGGTTAAATTATCAAACAGACTAGAATTATCTCCCCGCCTTGAATTCATTTGAAATTTAGCAATACTGTGCGATTTGTATATAATCTGCGTTACAACTGACACTGAAAACGTTAAGCTACTTAGGACGGCCAAGGAAACAACAGTAGACGAGCCGGGGCCAAACGAAGATTTTATGAGAAGAAGAATTTCTGCTCATGTGATAAAAATTTTCATGAAAACATTTTCAATTTCGAATGGCCTTATTTCACCCGTTGTTTACTTTGGAAACACTAAAAACGGCTACCATCTTTCTAGATCTTAAAACTTGTTTTGCCGAAGAAAACTGACCCCGCGCGAGAAATGCAATGTGTACATAATATTAGCATTTATAAACTTCTCATGACGTTTATGGGCAAAAATCAAGCATGTCTATTCGATTAAATTCACACAAGCGGTTTGATTGTTAACCAACTGATGGATAGCTATGAATGAAACGAATTTGACTCAACACAGCAGAAGTACCGATGTTGATGCGTCAGATGTTCTTTATCCAATGGATAAGAAGAACATTTCGAAAAAAGAGGGAACTTATTGAGAACGAAGTCCTTCTATGGCAATTCATGTTGTGTAAGAATATTAATCAATATAACAATGGTCAGTGTAAGAGCAGCTCTGATTATAAAGGCGCTGGAATATGAATTGGAAAATTGATGAGAGGTAGCATTAACACATCAAAACATTGACAATTAAATATCGTACTTACCTCGACTCTCACTCTGAACACTTTATTGCTTTGTATGGTGAAACAGCCAAATTTAGAATTAGAATCAGCAGCATGTGTCTATTATAAGATTATAAGCATGTGGTGAATCTCAGCCCACCCCTGAGGGGCCGATATTAAGTATGCATTGTAAGACAAGTCGGGGAGAGGTTTGCGGGGAATCTGGCACTAATTATTAGTACAAGAGCCCAGACAGACCTCTTGCTGGCTCGTGTTTCTAAAGACCTCGTGCGTTCGCGCGGGCGAAGAAGCGCCCGTGACCAAATGCCGATAATGAGGTCTCGCATGCTAGTGTATCCTCCCTCGCAGATTTTGTTCGCTCTCGTCACGCAACGGGAGGAGGGAGAGCACGTTGCGTGACGAGACCAAACAATGGATCCGAAGGAGACAACAGTGAGCGTTACACCGATTCAGTTTATTTTTGCTTACAATTATTCAGACAACACACGATGGGGAAAAAGTCATCTCCGTCAACCTTCTTAAATTTCTTTACCTTCGATCTACTTGGAAATAACTTGGAATCTGACTCCACCGTTCTCGCCTCTCTTCAAACCAAAACTAATTAAAGATATGAAAAATAACACCACGAACGACATGCCGCGAGAGACCCGAGGCATTTTGTCTTGTGAATGTTTCTTCTCCACACTTACCGTTGATTGCGTCAATCACTATGTCATAATGAAAACTGAAATAAGAGCAGCGCGCGCTCTGGCGTGACGTTTACTTGGTCTCGTCACATAACACTCTGAAAAACGTTGCGTGACCAGTCGAAATAAGACGCGGCTGCGATACATTACGAGCAGTCCCTCCTTTTCGGCGAAGTCCGTCGCACGAGTAAAGAAGAACAAACAGGAAAAGAAAACAGGGAAAAAAAGAAAGAATGAAATTGATGTCAGCGCGCTTCAGGGAGCTCTGGGAGAGAGGCGCCCCACTCTCAAAGCTCCCCACCGCGCGCTTACATTAACTTTTTTCACTGACTGGATTTTTTTTTTCTTTTGTCTTTTTTTTTTCATGGGCGAGGGACTTCGCCGAAGAGCAAGAACTGCTTGTAGCCTACGGCTGCCAAAACGACTGAACAGGCGTGAAAACTTCGCATTTTGAAAACTTGTAGATGATTACTATGTGCTCATATGTTTATATAGTAAAAGAACACTAATCACATCAAATCTGGTGTAAACATCACTTCCTAATTTCCTCATGGTTCGGACCACATTTTTGACGCAATTTCCGTGGCATAAAGACAGGAAATATAATCCTTAGCTACGAAGAAATACGTCTTAGGGTCTTTCTATAATTAAAGATTAAATCATTTTTAACACCGTGAAAGACGCTCATGGTATTGGAAAGTAACTTAAAAGTCAACTTTACGTCTACGAAAGATATAGTTGTAGTTGGTTGCAACAAACATTTGCTGTAATCGATAAAATTATTCATGGCCCGCTGAGCATTCTTCCGTCAATGCCTGAGTTTTTTATTTTTGAAAGGAATCATAAAAACTAACCGTGGAATTAGCTTTTTGTACAGCCATATCCAACATACATACATACATACATTTTATCACTTGGATTTGTATTTGCAGGTTTTCATGCGCCCATAGTTAGCTTGAGTGCTATTTTAGGTGAGTCGCATGTTAGACGTAAAACTATTACATAAGCGTTCACAAATTACTAACAATCTAATAATATTGTTGATAAGAAAAATCTATTGTTACAGAATAGATAAATTTTCGTTGTATAGAGATTAGAAATTACAAGTTTACCTAAGGACTAGCTAAGGATATAACATGTTGGCTGCTATAAAAAAAAACACGCTAGAATAACCTTAACCTTTTGAATGATTTTTTGAATCTCAATAAAAGAGTCTTCTAAAATGAGAATGTCAAAGAGTTGTCTTTTTATTGTCTTTTCTCAATTTTAAGGGCACCTCAGTCCAAACTTTTGTTCTAATTCTAGAGAAAGAATGGAGTCGAATTGATAGTCTAGAGCTTTGCTTAGGAAAGTTGTGATCGGGTGTTAGAAGATGCATCTCAGAAATATCTTGGAAGAGTTCTTAAATGCTGCAAGGTGCAGCATTCAAGTTTATCTACATTGGCTATGCAGGAGAGCTTTTGAATTTCCTGTCGGTTTATTTTCTAAGTCTAAATGCCGTTCTGGGTCCCACTCTAACACATTATAAATCACATTACAAAAACAACAACAACAAAAAAAACAATAGCTACTGTATACTCACAACAAATACTCAATTTCGAATAGAGAATAATACATGGGTACAGGTAGATATGGAATTTTTTTTCCAGGACTGGAAATCCTTTTAAAACACTGCAGTTTATTCTATATAGTAATGTAATTTTCACTGCCTTTGTGGATTTTGACAATATTTCAACTAATTTTAAGTTTCACAACAGTACTTGAAGAACAACGATACAAATTTCATGCAATAGAACACAGCTTTGACGTAATCTTATGATAAAAATCTCTCAAGTTTTCGCCTGCATAGATGCAGGTTTTTTGGAAAGTTCTCAATTTGACATTTCATATCCGACTCTCATTTTAGAATACAACAGACCATTGCATGCTTAAAGCAATCTTATCATTATTCTTTCTTCTTGGAAATCTTAGTAACCCCTTGCTATAAATGGCCACACGTAAATTGTCGATCTCTTCGCCTGACGAAGACTAGCAGTGTAGCAGTCGAAACGTCGCAGTCAGCATTGGTTGATATGACGGCGGTACGCAATTTAACAGTGTGAACGCTATAGCTCAGCTTCGGACTCGTGGATAACTGTTTCGCCTCTAATACATAGGAGAAGTGTACTTAGTGCTACTGTTTTGTGTGGGAAGCTTTATGTCGTCGGAGGTTATGATGGAGAAGGGTTTTTGAACACTCTCGAGGAATACTTCTGTGAACAAAATTGTTGGAAGTTGGGTAGCAGTATGAACCTGGGACGTAGCGGAGCGAGGAATGCAGTAGGTTGGAAACCTGCCACCTAGAGCCCCTTTTGATCGAGGCTCAAAAAGTAATTAATGATTGCTTAGGTTCTACGTTTCCTCACGCTGTGATTGGCCCACAACACCCTTGCCAACCTAATGATTTAGATATATGAAAATTGATATATTTGCACTGCGGTGAAGAAAAGAATTTAAGAGCTCCTCGCAGCTAAGAACACTACTGAACTAGTAGTTGAAAATAGGAACTGAAAAAAAAAAATTCAGGCCCGTACGGGATCTGAACCCATGACCTCTAAGATACCGGTGCAGTGCTATACCAACTGAGCTAACAAGCCACGGGTGCTGTGTCGGTGGGAGAGTATAACAGGTAATTTAGCGTTAACAACTGAGTTGAAAACATAAATTGGCCACCGTAAAGAGTTAAAAGGTTGACGTTTTGAGCGTTAGCCCTTCGTCAGAGCAATTGATGATGGGCTAACGCTCGAAATGTCAGCCTTTTAACTCTTTATGGTGGCCACGTTAAGTTTTCAACTCAATTGTTAACACTACTGAAATTCTTAACCAATCAGATGCGGCTCTAAAACCAATCCCGACCAAGTCACTCGCGTTTTCCCGCGCTTGGTGTTAGACAAAAAAACAATCGCAACTAATTACCCACTTTTTCCCGCGCGCTCTATGCATTTTGGTTTGATTTATGACACTAAAACGAAATCTTCCCTAACAAATTAAACAAAAAATATTTTCGTTACAGATATTCGCAATGAATCCGAATAAAATAATAGAGATGTACTGACTCTCACAAAGGCGTTGTAGTTTAACCAAGTGCCTTTATTTCTCCCTAAGAGTTCTTCTAATTACATTGACATTATATGCTACCAAATCTAATATATGTGGCTGCGATTTGGCCATTGGACCTCGCATCTTCTCCAAAGTTCTTTTTCTGCTTTCTTTGGGTCAGCTCTTTAAATGCCAGGTGTTTTAAATACCCCGCAGAAAAGAAGATCCGTGTATGTTATCAAGCCAAATGGACATTATCAATTTAATGTTATTACTACTTCAAAGTCAGTTACGATCTAAAAACCTCAAATACAATTAAGGGCGCTTTCCTTCTTGCTCAAATGTCTCACTTAGCCAATTGAAATCCAAGCACAACATGGCAACTAAAACATCAACCTTTGGCAATATTTCTTTTCCTCATCGGTTTGAGTGGAAATGCTAGATCCATTTCTATTTCCATTTCTGTTTCTACGGGATGATTTCTTTTCCAAGTGTACCGTTAACTTCCTCGAAAGCTGAGTCAGCGATTAGTTCACTGAAATCTTAGACAGAAGCGACTTTTCCAAGTATTAACTTATAAAAAGAAAACATGTTGACAATTTGCATAAAATAGGTTTTGTAGTTGAGTCTCGCATTTCGACCTGAAAATCGATCCATGAGTCTGGATGAAAAAAAAAAACTACTTAAGGCGATTTGAAACTAGAACTGAATTTTAGCTCAAAGGAAAGCGCTACTGGATTAATCTCTCATTGAAAAAAAAAATACTACATTTTTACACTTGGTTCGAGACAGGAGAGTTTATCCTATTCGTGTCACCCATTTACAAACTATGCGACAGATCCTCTTTAGGACGTTATGGCATACCCGACGCCAAAGGCCGTTGCTAAACACACGTCTGCAAATCTGTTTCGTTACCCAGTTACACACCTTGTTACAAACCCATTCCAGTTTTTTTTGCACTTGGCGTTTCTCACCTAGCAACCACAAAAAAATACAGTTAGTGTACAATTGACGTCTCGTATATCTTTCTTGAGTTTTAGTTGTATGTCGAACACTTCGAGGCTTCATCATTCCCCCCACCCTCACCCCCCGCGCATTTGAACTTTTGAAGATTGGTTCGTTCTCATTCCCGACTTTCTGGGCCAAAATTCGTTCAAATGCCCCACTCAAGCAAATTTTTTTGAAGGATTTTTTTTGTGATCAACGAATGTTGTAGAATCAAGCAAAGTTACTCATTAGCTTTTGGTGCTGCTTTTGGGTGATTCGCTTGTATGCATCAAATTGCGCTGTAAAACTTTTCGTTCCAAACCATTTGCTCCTCCATGTTAAAAATTAAGCTTTATATTCCCCACCCAGGGAAGGCTCACACTCCCCATCCCGGAGAGGGCCTTTTGGTGAAACGCCCGAAGGTGTCCGAATCGGTATCTACATGTATCGTGTATGACCGCATGAGTTATCTCGTGGATAATGCATGGCACATTACCCTGTGGTACGCACACATGCGCTATAAAATAAACACCGCATAAGTGTTCGCATTTTCCACAATTGTAATAAGAGAAAGTTGTCTTTAAGTCTACAAGTCTTTCTTATTGAGGGAGGAAGGAAGCCAATTCTTAGCGGGAAAAATGGCCCATCTCGCTTGCTTGAGAGTCAATCCGCACACATCATTCGATTCATGTTACCAGCACGCAGAGCCAGTCATGTCATAAGGTCCTTTTTTCATATTTGATGTAAACAATGACTAACATTTAGGATTTAATTGTTCCTTTTTAAGCATTTCTCTCTTGATTTGCGTTATTTTGTCCAAGAAAAAAAAAATAGTTGTCCTAAACACATCCCACCCCAAACCTCTCCTCGACACCTCACTCTAACAGAAAGCACATCCTATTCAATACGACTTACGTGCGTTAGGAATGTCGGATAGGTCCGTTACTTCAGGGAAACCCCTGGCTTCCTCGTCAACGAGTTCATTAACATCCTCATCGGACTCCACATCAGCTTCCTTCTCATTTGAGTTCCTAGCTCTTCTTACGACCACATAAATTGGTAGATTTGCACACAGATCCTCCATTTCAGTACTCAGCACTGAACGATCGTCAAGCAGTCCCACGACCTTCATTTGTATTTCAGTTGAAGTGGTTGGTAAGTCTTCACCTGTTCTGGGAGTTTGCTGATATAATGAAAAAAAAGTGATGAGAATTAGGAATCAGACGCGCCAAAACATTGCGAGACTGACGATAAAAGACCCAAGGTGTGGAAGTAATTCAATCTCACTCACCGTCTCTAAAGCTTCCTTTAAAACAGCGGGTGTGGGAGTTTCATCGACTGATCTCGCCACATAGCAAGCCTTTTCTGCTGCTAGATGAATCATTGTCATTTGCTGCATGAAAAATAAAATTCAGCTTTAGTCAGTACTTTCGGGAAAAGCATATAGTAAAGTGGACAGAGATACAATGAACTGACACACTTGACAGCCTGGAAGTTTATATTGAGATAAACTAGAGTTATTAGAATAAGTGATAATGATAAAGATATATTTATATGGCGCATTTTCCAAATGAATATGTTCTGATGCGCTTTACAGCCCTTCCCCGGTGGACTTTGGCCAAATACAGTTTACAATGCTCTCTTTAAATGAAATTTTGCAAGTACCCCTAATTTAGGAATTTGTGGACACAAGGCCAGGCTGTAACACCGGAAGGTATGTTCTTAAGTCTTTGCGAGAGGTGCGTAGGTTCTTTAACGTCCCCTCCTACCCAGTACAGGATGCAGGAGACGGGACCTTTTTTTTTTTAAAGAATGGGTTCAATACCTCACCGCCCTTACCAACCCAAAGAATTTTATTCAACAAATACAAACAATTATTACCTTTTTGAAATCGTAGAGTATATCTCCTGCTGATTGATTTAGCGATGTCTTTGGTACATGGAAAGTCTCTGTCCCTTTTGTAATGTCGATTGAAATCTCTTCTTTAAATGTTCTTCCGCCTTCCGACAACTCCAATGAATATTTGCTGACAGAGCTCTAAGAACGAATAGGATTTTTTTAATTAAAGGAGGATGTATTTCGACTAACATGTAATTACATGGATTCAGTCTCGCTATCGTTGGTCAAAAACCAAAATAAAAGATTAAAAAGGAAGTTGGATGGCAATGACTGAGCAATTCTTTACTAACGTAACATTTACTTAACTATGGAATAACAGAAACTGAACTTGCAACGACGATCGATCTTTATTGATAAGGAACAATTTTATGAAACAGGCTCAGGGTAACGCAATAAATTTCTAACCCCTAAACATCCGGGATTTCTACCGACTGGTAACCATACATTTTTCAGTTGGCTCTTTGAGAGAATTTGAAGCTAAATCAAGACCAAGTTAATGTTATCTTTCTTAATTCTCATTATCTTTCGGTCCGACGATGTATTTTAACTATAGGAAATAATAACAAATGATCACTTACCTTCTTCTCTGATATCAAAGAGGATGACTGCACAGATACGACCAACAGGGCAAGAAACGAAAACAATGTTGACAACTTGAATGTCTGCGAAAAAAACAGCAAGTCATCAATTTTTAAGCGAATTTCATTGAAATTTTATGAAATGCTGCCTTCATAGCAATATGTTTGTTTCTTGGTTCCAGATATTTCGGCGATTTCAATCCCTAAGCAATTTAAGAAAAAGCAACTTTGATTCACTGTCGACATCCACTTCTACAGTCTCGTAAAACCTTGTTCTCTTTTCAAGAATGTCAAGGGAGTAACTTTCAACCTGAACCTGAATCACCAAAAGAAAAAACCCTCAGTCGTTTTAAATATAAAAACTTTTCTTATTTTGTGTTCCCGTACTCAACATTTCCCAGGGGTATTATAATCATTCTTATACAAGGTTAATTTGATATGAACACCAATACATCTAGTATGAGAACAAAAATAACCTTACTCAGACGACGGTTCGTGCTATAAATACTCCTAAATATTTCAAAACTCACCATTTTCACAAACAGTGTAGGAACACAGCAAGTCAAACGCCAGAGCTTCTGATTTGCTTTCAGGCGAGCTTCTACCGTTTAAATGCATGGCGTTTCAGCAATCTCGAAACAAATATTGATAACAGTTTCGAACAGTTTTCCTGCCTGACGAAGTTCCTCTTGAGCGTTGCAGGATTCAATTCGACGTCCTTGAAAGTTGATGGTCACACAAACGGTCATAACGTTACGTGCTCATCAACTTTTTAAACTTAATTTAGAGAGTACCAGCGCTGCAGGATTCAATTCAATGTTCCTTGAAAGTTAATGGTCACAAAAACGATCATAACGTTACGCGCTCATCAACTTTTTAACTTAAGTTAGAGAGTACCAGTGCTGCAGGATTCAATTCAACGTTCCTTGAAAGTTGATGGTCACACAAACGATCATAACGTTACGTGCTCATCAACTTTTTAAACTTAAGTTAGAGGGTACCAGCGCTGCAGGATTCAATTCAACGTTCCTTGAAAGTTGATGGTCACACAAACGATCATAACGTTACGTGCTCATCAACTTTTTAAACTTAAGTTAGAGGGTACCAGCGCTGCAGGATTCAATTCAACGTTCCTTGAAAGTTGATGGTCACACAAACGATCATAACGTTACGTGCTCATCAACTTTTTAAACTTAAGTTAGAGGGTACCAGCGCTGCAGGATTCAATTCAACGTTCCTTGAAAGTTGATGGTCACACAAACGATCATAACGTTACGTGCTCATCAACTTTTTAAACTTAAGTTAGAGGGTACCAGCGCTGCAGGATTCAATTCAATGTTCCTTGAAAGTTGGTGGTCACACAGACAACATATAACATCACGTACTCATCAATGGAGAGTGTCGCGCCGTCTTTCCCTCTTGATATGCAGGGTGAAGTGGAGATTTACAACTCAGGATTAAAACAAATCGACATCTTTCATACATGACATATGAATAAAAGAAATACTGTTTCTTTTTATCTGATGACCCATTTTGATTAACGTTCACGGACGCCCATTTTAGACCCTTTTAGCTACTAATGCAGATTGTGGGACAATTACTCATTTGACATCGATCCTTCGTGAGCGTATGAAAGGTCACCGAAGAATGTCACGATTCAGCATTCTCGACACAAAATAGTAGCTGTATCAAAATGTTGGTCCGCTTTGAGAAAGTTGCTCTTCAGCTCTCCAGGACTTCGTCCAATTTTCATTAACATCTTTGGATCACACAAACCAGGATCGAAATATTTTTTAAATTAGCCATAAATACAAGACAACAGGACGGATCATCATTTTTCTTCCCGTTAAAGTTTAGTTCAATTAATGCAGTGCAGAAAGTTATAGAGATCTCGCTTCTAACCGTCTCTGATGATTTGGTTTTATCAACTGAGTTGAAAATGTAACCAGGCCAATGTAAAGAGATTCTAAAGCTGACTTTTCGAGCGTTAGCCCTTAGCTTCGGTTTGACAGCCAATTTACTTCATCAACTCCCTCAGGTAATGACACAAAATTATCTGAAAAAATCCCTACCGACATAGCATCATAGTTTCTCAGCTTGTCTTCTTTAGAAACTTCAAAATCATTTATTCGTCTCTGGTCGGAGGTCCAAGCGCTTTCGTTTAGCTCGCCAGTTCAATATTCGATCTTGTATGTGCGTCAGAGGGTAAATTATAAAGGAATTGGTGTCTTCACACAGCCCTGATTTTATCCACATCTGGATAATGGCTACATTTAAAAATGGCCAGGGTCATTTCTACCAAAGCACCTAATGTTTTGTTGACAAGAGAGAATGAAGGGCGATTTATGCCGTTGCTGTTTTGGTTGAGCGGTAATTCATAGTATTAATTAACTGACCCGGCTCACGGTGGCTGTCGTTTTGCTCTAATCTTCTATCTATAAGCGGCCAAACAAACGAGAACATTTCTGAGTCGATATTGAGTAGAGAATGCGGAAATATGTAAAACCTTTCCTGAAAAAATACTGATACGAGTCAAAATATTTTTTAGTGGACTAGGCATTGTTCCATTCTACCTGAACCTTGTCCTCTTGAAGCTTGGAAAGCACGTGGAGCGTGTCATTCTTGAAGCTTGATCGCTAGAGGAAGAATATCAGTCATGAAGAGGACAGTCGGGCCTCCACAAAGTACCATGCTTATAGCGAAAGGCACTAAGGACTCTCGGCCTGTCCTTTTCAGTCTCCTCGATATGTTTTCTCTCATATGCTTTATGGCAAATTTACTTCCCTTTCTTCTTTTATCTTAGGCCGCTGTGACTCTGACTGACTGCTCGACTCTGGTCGACTTTTACTTGCTCTGATTAACTGACTACGAACTCTAGATTCGCGATAAATTCTCTGACGAAGGCTAACGCTCGAAACGTCAGCTTTGAAACTCTTTACGGTGGCCAATTTACATTACCAACTCTGATAAAACCAAAATTATCTTGATATACTCCCCAGCGACGCGGCATCGCAGTTTCTTTCGAAACTTACCCCCTATCAGTCATTGGTCTAAATTAAGCGCCTGTCAGTGCTTGAATGGGCATGTGGGCCAATTAACCTTGGAGCAGATATGTAACGAATTTAAGAAAATAAACGACACTATTTAAACTGAGGAGTCGTTGTGGTGTGCTTGAGGATGTAGAAGTCAACAACGGTCAAGATGTTTTCTACGCGTGTTGTTAAAAGGTCTTTAGCGCTGATCGTTTGGCGATGGCACCACGCAGGCTATCCGAAAAACAACTCTTACGAAGCGCCATCCCAAACGATCGAAGGAACATTTTTAATGGATCAGCGTCGAAAACATCTTGACCGGTGTTGACTTCCGCTAATGGAAGTTGGACAAGACAATCACTTTCAGGAGAGTCATCACGATAGCTTAAACCCCAATAACTTGGATTTTTGGATTCAAATCTTAGCCAAATGTTGACTCTAAACAAATTACTAAAATCCTAACTGAGTTACTAAATGCCTCAGAGCGCCTTTTTAATCTCATATACCTGTATCATCGACCTTAGACTCGATCGTCAGGTTTAAATCAGTATTTTTTCAGGGAAGGTTTCACATATTTACGCATTCTCCGCTCAATATCGACTCATAGATGTCCTCGTTTGTTTGGCCATTTATAGATAGAAGATTAGAGCAAAACGACAGCCGCCATGAGCCGGCTTTTCAATAAAGATTATGAATTACCGCTCAAAACAGCAACGGCATAAATCGCTCTTCATTCTCTCCTGTCTACAAAACATAATATGAATTCGTGGTTTGTGTGATCCAAAGATGTTAAGGAACATTGGATGGAATCCTGGAGAGCTTAGGAGCAACTTTCTTAAGGCGGACCAAAACAGCAACGAGAATGTGTCGAGAATGCTGAATCGTGACATTCTTCCGTGACCTTTCATACTCTCACGAAGGATCGATGTCAAATGAGTAATTGTCCCACAATCTGCATTAGTAGCTAAAAGTGTCTAAAATGAGCGTCGGTAAACATAAATCAAAATGGGTCATCAGACAAAAGGAAACATTATTTCCTTTATTCATATGTCACGTATCATGTTCCCTTTAGTCCATATTTTTACGCCATGTTTACGAGCGACGTATTGGAAAGTCGCCAAAACAGCATAACACTAAAATCGATGGATCCGAAGAGTGTAGAACTTTTGATCGAGTTCGCTTACACAGCGCAGATTCGAATCACTGAAGAAAATGTTCAAGACGTGCTACCGGTATCCTGTATATTACAAATCTGTCCCGTTAAAAAAGCCTGTTGTGACTTTATACAATCGCAACTTGATCCATCGAACTGTATCGGTATAAAGGACTTTTCAGAGATTTATGGCTGTTTGGATTTAAGTAAAGCAGCAGAAAAGTTTATTTTTCGCCACTTTTTACAAGTCTCAGAAAGTGAAGAATTTCAAACCTTGCCCGAGGACCGCTTGGTCGACTTAATAAGTCGAGATGAACTTTTTGTGAAGTCGGAAGATGAGGTGAGGTTTGAATCAATGATTATCTCATCCTTTGACTCTCTGCATTGACCTTTTTAGACCCTAACATCAGTATGCATATTCTCCATACTGTTCTCTGTACATTTCCTAAGGTGCTAACAAAGAGAATTTGTTTAAAGATATAAATCTTCTTTTTTTTTGATAAACATTTCCCTTATCCATGTGACCTTACTATGTGACTGAGGGGTGATATTGTAAGGAGAAATTAGATGTTAGTCACTGTAAAGGGTGAAAGAGTTCAGTAAATTTCAGTGAGGCAAATACATAAAGTATCAGTTGACTTAAAAAATGATTCATATCAAATTCTTAAATTATTATGGTCATCTACTAGGTTCTTGCAGCCTTGTTACGATGGGTAACTCATGATCTGACAAACAGAACACAGGAACTGAAGGATCTACTGAAACATATACGAGTGCCTTTTGTTTCAAATTCTTACCTTAACTCGATCATCCAGTGTTGTGAACAGGGCATGAGATCTGAGTTTAAAGAAACATTGATTGAGGCCTTCTCAGTGAGTATTTTAAAGTATGATTTTCCTATTTACTTAACCTCCAGGAATGACTTCTCTGGATTCTTGGCTGAGTTGTGATAACTATATGTACTAGATATCTCTCACATTATAATGGACCTGTCCAATACCCATGCCACAAGCACCTATACCAGATTTCAGACCAAAACAGCTCAAAAATCACACCCTTTTGGAGGGATTACACCATAAATACAGGAGTTTTTAATTAATAACTTTTTCCATAAACTGCTGGCAATGGTGTCATGAAGGCAGCTCTCTCCAGAAAAAAGGGCTGTTAGGCAAAACCCAAACATGATAGCTTGCTTGCAAGCTAAACAGATTGTCATGAGAGATCTCTGCTATTATTATTATAGTTTCCATTTGGCTAATCACTAAAACTTTCATGACTAATATACGTGATTGAGTAAAAGTGCTTTTGCCTAGAAATTACAGACATGACAAGTTCACAGAAAAACATAATTTGGATCTGAAAAAATTTCTGATAAAATGTGACTGCGAATGACTCTTGAGATGTAATAAGCTGAAATTAATTTAGCATTTTAG